TAATGCAAGCTAACCCTTGCCTTACTTTATACATGGGGAAACTCACAGAAAGGAGACAAGGCTTTTTTTATAGTCACACAGATAGAAAAGCAGATTCCACGCAAATCTCACAAACTCGCAAGTCCATGTGTTCCCTCGGGATTGCCCTGCCTTTTTTCCACATAAGTCATGGTGGCTCTTTTCTCCTGGACCTTGTCTGGATGGGGAAGATGGTCAGGCAGGAAGTCAGCTGGAAGAAGGCGCCATGCTTCTTTTATAAGATCTGGTCACTACTATCAATCATTTGGCTATGAAGTACCCCATTCCCAAGGCCCAAGTGTTAAAGACTTGGTCCTTGGTCCACGATGCTACTGGGAGGTGGCAGAAGCTTAAGAGGCGGGGCCTACTGGAATTGATGTTAGACGTTGAGGGTGTCCACTCGAAGGGGATGTGGGGACCCCAGTCCCTTCTCACATCTCCTTTTTACTTCCAAGCCGCTATGTCTCCCGCTGCACTGCCTCACCACAGGATCAAAGACAATGGGGGTCAAACTTCTTGACTAGTGAACGAAATAAACCTTCCCTCCTTCAAATATCTCAGGTATTACGTCTTAGTACTGCAACGCTGACCCCTAGTGTGTTTCCTATTCCTTCGACAAAACCCACTGCTCCAGAATGGTGTCAAAATGGGGAGAATGTCCACAGGTGTGAAGAAGTCGCTGGCAGCAGCTAACCTGGCTAGCTTGCCGAAGGCAGGGGAGGAGACAGGCCTCTTTAACATTTTCCCACAGTTCCCACAATTGCGGAGAAGTCTTATGAAGGAAGGAAGGAAGCCAAGTTCTATACTTGGCTTTGCTGTAACATGGGAGCAGCCATGTGTGGGCCTCTGCCTCCTCATCTGTGAGACAGAAGAGACTGGGTGACATTATAGGGGAGCCTTTAAGAGTCACAGGGCACAAAGCAGTGATAGTAGTAGAACCCTCAACCACGTAAAATGTTATTCCAGGATAATAATGTGAGCTCAGCCCAATTCTCATTGAATTCTCCTAATCAATGTAAAAAGAAAGTTGTTTTAAAAAAAAAAAAGATTTATTTATTATGTGTACAGTGTCCTGTCTGCATGTACACCTGCAGGTCAGAAGAGGGCATCAGATCTCATTACGGACAGTTGTGAGACCACCATCTGGCTGCTGGGAATTGAACTCAGGACTTCTGAAAGAACAGCCAGTGCTCTTAGCCACTGAGCCATCTCTCCAGCCCCTCAAAAAGAAAGTTTCCCATTGGTTGCTTTAATCAATGGCTTTTTATTAGCTGGTAACTTTAAAATCTATTTGTATTGTATTTATTTCGTTATTGCCTTCCAAGCAGCTGATGCTATTGACCCCATTATTGTAACACTGGTTTCCTTTTTAAATAGTTGATTTGAGTAAAAAGTGAAGTTGTGTTTTTTTTTTTTTTTTTTTGAGAGCCAGTGTTCATTGAGAAAAGAAAAAGGAAAGGAAGGTCCAGAGAGTTGACTCAGAGCACTGGCTGCTCTTCTAGAGGACCCAGGTTTGTTTCCCAGCACCCACACGCTGCTCACAACAGTCTGTAGCTCCAGTTCCAAGGAATCCAGCTCCCTCTTCTGGTTTCTGTGGGGATCAGGCATTCACGTGGTGCATGGACAAACATGCAAGAAAAACACTGATACACATAAATAATGTAATAATTATATATTAATGAGTATTATTAAGAATAATTAATAATAATTATTATTAGTTTTGAGACAGGTTTCTCTGTGTATCTCTGCTATCCTGGAACGCACTCTGTAAACCAGGCTCTTCAGACTTAAAGATCCGCCTGCCTCTGCCTCTCGAGTGCTGGGACTAAAGGCATGTGCCACCACGCCTGCCTAAAACTAAATATTTTTAAAAGTTAAAATAAGGAAAGTCATGGTGCTCACAGAGAAAGAGTAGATATGTATTTAAAACCACTCCAGGGGCTGAGATATAGCTCAGTGGTAGAGTGTTTGATTACAATGTGCTAGACCATGGGTTTGATTCTCAGCACCCGATAACACATGCGTACAAACACCCTGTCTATATGGGCTTATGTCTACATAAAATGTTAGCCATGTTGGACCTGTTGGCACCGGCCTGTAATCCCATCTACCACCCAAGAGGCTAGGGCCAGAGAATAATGAGTTCATGGCATGTCTGGGTTCCAGAATGAGTTCAATGCCAGCCTTGGCAACTTAAGGAGACTGTGGCTCAAAATAAAAGTAAGGAGAGGATTGAGTGTGGTTCAGCATAGAGCATTAGCTAGGATATGTGAGGACCCAGGCTCAGTCTCCATCAAAAAGGAAGTAGGTGCAACCCAGCCGTCACTTGGGGTGTAAAATGTTATTACTGCTCCTCCTTGCTGTCCCTCTGAGTGACGGCCACTGCCTTCTCTAACCACCGCAATGTCAACCCTGCTCGGATCTCACGCCATGTCCCCACCCAGGGGATGGTTTCTTCTGGATATCAGCAGTTTTCTTGTTTTCCATCCCGCACGCACTCCTTCTTTACTATTGCCCTATGCATACTAAAAAGCACCAATCTTTGTTTGGTTCATACAGCCAAGGAGGCCAAGTCCACCTCCCTCTGCCGTCTTCCGTCCACAACTCCACATCCACACAGCTGCCAACTGTGAACGTTAATTCTGTCAACTTCACTGGCCCTGGGGTGCTCAGGTGTTTGGTCAAACGTTTATTCTGCGCATGGAGGAGTGAAAAATATACATTTTCACGTTAGTAGAATAAAGCAAGAGATACACCAAAAGGTGGGTGGGCTTTGCCCAGTCTGGATTTCAAAATGTCCTCTGTTCAATTGTCTTACCCTGGGACACTGAGTTTTATTTTTCTAGCTCCCAGATTCAACCGTTCAACCAGTAAAACATTGGCTCTTGGCCCCTGGGCCTGCTGGCTTTCAAACAGCTCCTCTACTGTCTCTGCTGGTCCTGAAGCTCACCTACGGCAAATCTTGGAACTTCTCAGTCTTCACAATCATGGGATCTCAACTTTATAATAAATCCCACCCCCACGTCCTTAGTCCATCATGGGATCTCAACTTTATAATAAATCCCACCCCCACGCCCTTAGTACAACCTGTTCTGGAGCACCCTGACCAGCGTCAGTCCCACAGGTGCTTTTCCTCATCAAGAGGAGAGCTGACTCCATCCAGCTGTCCTCTGGCCCCTTGTGCAACCTTCCTAAGCTGGAAGACTTAAACCTACAAGTTTGCTCACGTATCTCTCAAATCCTGGCTTGCACTGTCCTTATCTGAATGTCCTCTTTCTCCTTCTGCTTGAGGGTGGTGACTAGTACCTCTCTTTCTATCCCCAGAGCCCAGTGCAGTGCCCTCTGTTGTTGAGGAGGTGAATATCACCTCAAGCGAAACAAGGTTCAACATTTGAAGCCGGCGAAAGCTTGACATGATGCTACATAATTGAATTTGAAGACAAATAATACCTGTTTCAAAAGTTACTCCTCTAGAGGCCGTCGACAGCACCTGCGAGATGCTTAGGCAGTGTTTCTGTCACCTGCAGAGTTTTAAAAGAAGTCTCGTGCCAGATCTCACCCTGGAACAACTACCTAAAAGGCTCTGGGGTGCTTTGTAGGCAGTATTGTTTTTAACCTTCCCAAATAACTCTTACAGGCAGTTGGAGTTGGAAGTCACAGCCCGGAGGGAATGCAGGTGAGCTGATTTGGGTTTATATGAGGGATTGACTTCTCTTGAATGAGAGACTCCAGTGCTGGAGAGATGGCTCAGCTGTCAAGAGAACTGGCTACTCTTGCCAGAGGACCCAGGCTGGGTTCCCAGCACCACAACTATCTATAGCTCCAGGTCCAGGGCACACATGTATGTTCATGTAAACACACATACACAGAAAATATAAATAAATAAATAAATAAATAAATAAATAAATAAATAAATAAAGGCTTCAGTGTATCTTTGGTTGCACAAAGGAAGGTCAGATGTAAGTGAAAAATTACACCAGTAACTAGTATTTATTGACCACTTACTCATTCCTTCTGATACCCAGAGAAATAAGCACTGTTACTGGGTATCATTGCACGTTGTGCAAACGGAGACTAGGAAATGGGAGAAGCCCTTGAATTTACAGAGATCACCAAGGAAGAGAGCTGAGGTGAGGCGATATGAACCCAGATACCCAGGAGGCTTCAGAGCGCCTGGAAGATTTGGCGCTCCAGTGACTCTTGAGTGTATGTGCCAATGTGCATGCGTGTTGTGGGCATGCACACAGGCATGCACATATCTAAGGCTCTCTTCTCGGCTGTGCTGGTGATTGAACTCGGGGCCTCGTGTGCATATTAGGCCGGTTCCATACCACTGTGCTGTGTCCCTGGCCCTGGAGCTTGGGGTTGGGGCCTGGCTAAACAGAGAGCAGAAGACCTCTGATAGGGGAAAAAGCAGGACCTTGGGGCATGGTGACGGGGTAGGCTGAGGCGACAACATTAGGGAGGGCGTCTCAGGAGAGGGTAGAACCCATGGGCTTCAGATGGTAGTTTCAGCATGCTGACTTGCCAAGGTTCTCCCTTACGCCAATTGCCAGCTTTAGCTAACTAAGTTGTGGTAACTCTGGGAAAGGGCCCAATTAGGGTGGGATAGCAGAGGGGTGCTCTCTACACGGTCCTCCCTGAGGCCAAAGTGGTGAGCACTGTTCATCCAGAATCCCAGAAGTATAAAGTATAAAGTGAAGAGCCGAGTATCACTGGGGACGCACAGGAAGCAGACTAAGGCAGAAAAGACCCCGAGACTACAAGAACAGGAGTAGTTTACCTGGTTAGGGGGGGGACCCTGGTACCTACTATCCAGAGACCCTAGTGAACTGGGAGGTCTTCTACAATATTCCAGGCCATTGTTAGTGACCCATCAATACAAACAGAAGCTATAAACATGAACTTAAGTAACCTTCTAGCCCCCACCCTCAATTAGGGCCCAATAGCTCACAGGTGATCTTCGGGAAGTCCGACCCTACCTTTGGTTAGAGAGTGAATCCCCAGCTTGACCTGGGAAAAGTTTCCGCTCCCGATCTCCCCTCGAATTCGATAGAAGCCTATGCGTTTGCCCAACGTGATCTCCCTCATCACCTTCTCATCTTGGCACATGTCCTGAGTTAGTTTCTCGAAGGGCGTCAGGTGGCGGGGCTGGTCCTCCTCGCCCTCCTGGGCGCACTCGGTCTGACAGCTGCTCTCCGTGCTGTCCCGCCGGTCCCACCTGTCACAGTGTGTGTGCACCAGGCCGCCTCCATTCACAAACACCGCAGTCATCGTCCACGCAGGCTCATGTGTCCATCTCAGCCCAGAGCCACGGTCAGGGCAACTTGTAAGGCAGGCAGATGTGAGCTGAGGTCTCCCGGAGCAGCGTCCATGAGAGCTCTGAGAGTGAGCAAAATTCCAGCGGGGCCTCACTCCTGGCCCTTCACGCCTTCCCTCACTCACCTCAGCTTTCCAAGCACTCGCTGGGGAAGCTAGATGCAGAGGTGGAATCTGATGTTCTGTCGTCTAAGTGGCTGCGATGGGGGACAAAGGCTCCGTTTTATTTCCCTGTGCGACCGGGCAGTCTCGCACTCCAGAGTGCAAAAGCCCTTTGGAGGCCCCCGAGTCCCCGCAGCGGGTGCTCGTCGCTGACCTTCATATTGTGTTTCTCTTGCCGTCAAATCGCAGGACCCTGGGGACTTAATAATCTGAACTCCAAGAAAGGAAGAGTCTTGTAAGTCAGCCTCTGGTCACACAGGCAGCGAGAGGATTAAATCCGCACAATGTCACTTTAGCCGGCCTTTATTTAGATGAGCCCTCTTCTAAGCCCTGAGCTGTCCTGAAAATTTGGCAGACGACGGCTCGTCCTGAGGACAGAGAGTAAAATAATTAGCGCATTCGAACGTGCCGCACAGGAGAATGTGAGACCGCCTCGTGAACGTTTTTCTCAACATACTCTGCGAGTTTGTGAGTCTTATTGATAGTAGATGCTAAATTACATACGGTCTAACAAAAAGAGAAGTCAACATGCACACATGCTCTCCGTGCCAGCTTTAGGAAACCTAGATTGTCCATGCGTCTCAAGCAAGGCAACTCTGTTTCTTGAAGTTTAGGAAAATACACATGTTGTATTAGTTCGGTTTTTTTTAAAAAATCGATTTTTTTAAAAAAATACAAGATAGCAATAATGACAACGTTTATCGATTCTCAAACTGCCTTACATTTTTGCGAATCTTTCTTATCTCCTTTAACGCCGTCATATTCCAGTACAGCGTCTCCTTCTCTAGTTGTTTTTGTTCTCTCTGTTTTGCCATTGACAAAGGCGACTTTTCTCCTCTGCTCATTTTTTCCTTATATTTCTGATGGGCTGTTCATCTCATGGGCCATGTCCATGTGAGGGACAGAAACCCAGGGCAGCACGGCTAAGGTGCCAAGGCTGCCCTGTGGACCGCATTCCAGACTTAGCCTGCACCCCCTGTTCCGTTCATCGTCTGAGACTCCCAGAGCCCTCTGAGATGTTCACAGAATAGCACTAAGCATCATCTCCCTGAATCCCCTTGGTGTTTTGATTATTTTCCGAAATGTCACTTCTCCGTGAAGGTGGTAAGCACAGCCTGTCCCCACGTCCCCTCCCACAGCACGGAATGCTGGGCTCTCTGTGTTGAGAGCATTCCCTAAATGTGTCATTTTTGAACTTGAGAGTTTTTTTTTTAACTAAAAATTTGGAAAAAAGGAAAAACACATCAACAAACAAACAAAAAGACCCAACTTAACAGATTGCCTTGGAAATACAATTTCTAGTCTGCTTGAAGAAATTGTGTTATTATTATAGATAGGGCTGCCTTATTGTTATTACGGGCTAAGTATGGGACTGCTATCAGAAAGGGAACTTTGTGCCCAATACTCCTCCTATTCCTGGATATGGGGACATGAAGGTAGATGAAGGTTACAGGGTTATAAGGGGCCACTTAGCAATAACTAATACAGCTCTAAAGTAGAATGGTTCAGATGCTAAAAACACTAAGGCGAAAAAAGTCAAAAGTCCCTTTCCTGGATTAAGGGGATTTCAGGCACTAATTAGTAATTGTCCTAGGTTCACAGACTCCTTTGAGACACTAACAAAATCTATGACCAGGAAAAAGCACACCCACACAATCTGCATCCAATGTTAGAGAGTTCACAGGCATTCTGAAACTTGTCTCTGGATATCTGGCTAAGCTAAGTTCAAGTGACACTAGACACGGACGGTCAGATTTGCAACGCGGAGCTCACAAGAGACAGGGGTAGCGTCAACCATGGTTCTGAAAGAAACTTTAGCTTAACCCATGCGAAAGAGAAGGGCTAGTCTGGGCAGAGTAAGTCAACTAACCCATGCAAAAGAGAAGTCTGGGCACAGTAAGTCACTTACAAGGCAGCAGGAGCTGTGAAGAACTCTCGGCTCTGCACCCTCTTGGAGTGCCTCCTCTCTGGGCTGCGGCTGTCAGTGGCCTATTTTACCACAGCTAAATAAATAAAGAAGGTGTGCTTTGTTCTTTCTGAGTGCGCCAGGACTCTGCACAGTGCCTGGCGCTCATCTGATAAGTTTATTAAAGAAGAAATGAATTAAGTTACCCAATGTTAGCTTTTAGTCTGGTTCAGTAGAGGCAAATACCTTTTTTATTTATAAGCTAATAACACTAGCCCAACATTTAATTATCTCAGAAAACTCGCTTCAGCACATTCTTTCCAAAGCCTGGGCTACGCTGTAGCAGCTGTTGGGATTCCTGACCCCACCTTCCTGTGTGAGGAAAAGCTTAGCTGTAGTTCTATCATCTGACTGGGAAGTGGTGCTGGACCCCTACTAATGCCTCTCCTTGCCCTTGCTCCCTCCAAGAGGTCTACTCTTCCCAAGTCCTCAGGACTCCAGGCACCTGCTTTCTCCCACACAATTGCTGACCCAGGACTCATCCTCTCCTCCTCTGGCTCCCCAACACTCTCATTGTGGGCTCCACTTGTGCCCTGGGATTGCAGTGTTCTAACCTCACTAACCAAATTGACTTCGGGGGCCTCCTAGAAACAATAAGTCCCCCTTCTCCTGGCTCCACATCGGGGAGAGATCAGATACGGCTGCTGACAGTGGCCAACTGTATTGTGGTTTATGAGTTGTAGACCCTCAAGTTAGATTTCTTGCAACATGGCCTTAAACCGATTCTCTTTTTTTCTTAAAAGCCAGGAAAACAATTAATCTTCTATTTAAATTAGATAAAGAAGCTTTTACAGATTTACAAGAATTAGGTTTGTATTGAAGATGAATTGAAACTCATTGATAATGCCAATGATCCAATTAGGGGGAAAGGAGCCCTTTTCTACTCCAAAATAAATCACATAAATAGATATAAACAAAATAATTCACATAAATAGATATAAACAAAAGCATGAAACACCGGGGGCAGGGGTGGGGTTGAGTGTCTCAGTGGTTACAAGGCTGAAGATTGCAGAGCCGAAATCGTGGTGATGGCTTGAGTGTGGGAGAGCAAGCTCCCAGCCCATACTTCTCCAAAGAAGGCTAAACGGCGCTCTGCCCTCCTCTCCCTGCCCAGTTCAAGAAGAACCCTGGGCACAGGAGGGAGTATTAGGTAAAACTTGTTTACAGAATCCCATTTCCTTCATCTTCCTGCACCTGCAGTTTCTGGAAAAGAGAGGACTAACCATCTAAACCTCTAGGCAGGGGATTCTCATTGTCTGGACTAGCTCCAGAGGAAAAGTCCCCCCCCCCCCCGCCCCCCCCCCCCCCNGTGAATGGTCAGTCCCAACACTCCTCTCTCTCTCTCCTCCCATCTTGCCTATAGATATTCCAGATCTTTCCAACTGTCTTCAACTACCAGCCTAGGCTATGGATCCTGCTTTCCAATCCAGTACTCTGCCTCTTGTCTGGTTATGGGAACTGCTCTAAGTCACTTGGGTTCCATCAGCAGGGCCAGAACTTGCAAGAGCAGGGCCAATGTACTTGCAAGAGCAAGATTGTAAATACATGTCTTCCGGACTTGGGTCTACCACAATCATAAATGGTCTAGAGAAACATACGACTCAGGGAGATATTCTATTGATGCCACCCTCAGAGTTTCTCCAGAGGACTGCCAGAGAGAGAGAGAGAGAGAGAGAGAGAGAGAGAGAGAGAGAGAGAGAGAGAGAGAGAGAGACCACATTTGGAGACTGTGCAATGCAAAAGCTCTCTTGAGTGCCCATTTCACAACCCTTGGGTGCTAGAGCCAACCACCCACCCACCCGGCCACACATACACATGAGAGAGAGACAAAAAGGGAGAAAGAGGAGAAAGAGACAGAGACACAGGGACAGAGAAACAGGGCAGAAAGACACAGAGAGAGGAAGAGAGAGAAAGAGATTGTGAGTTTGTTTTTAACCCAGTCTTAGTTTCTTCCTAGTAGAGTGAACGGCCACACAAGAGGCACCAATAGAAGGGCTCCAAAATGAAAGAGACCGCACCCACCCAAACCACCATGACAACCAAGAGGAACTTAAAGGAAACAGAACAAGAAGGAAGCAGAAAGCATCCATAAAATCAAACCAAAACACTAAAACTTAAAAGATCACTCAGACATGAGAGAGATCTCTTGAGAATTAAATTATTTACTTGAAGAATCTTATTTTTTTAGTCTAGAAGAGATGAGCAATAGAGAATAAAAAAAAATCTGTCAATCAAATTAGAAGTCCCAACATCTGATTATCAGAATTCCCAGTCATACTGCAAATTTCTCAATAATAACAATCATTAGGAAAAAAAAAATCCAGGTGGTGGTGGTGCATGCCTTTGATCCCAGCATCAGGAGGCAGAGACAGAAGGATCTCTGTGAGTTCAAGGCCAGCCTGGTCTACAGAGCTAGTTCCAGGACAGCCAGGGTTACACAGAGAAACCCTGTCCTGACAAACATGTGTCATTATGCACTTGAATTGCTAATAAACTTGCTAATAATTGCTAATAATGACTTTTCTAAGTCAGTCTTAAGAGAGGAGAAGCTCCACACACTCTCACATTCTACTAGAATGAAAATCAGAATAAAAGAATGCCCAGGAAGGTTAGATCTGCATAGCTGTGTGGGTCCATGAGGGAAAGCACGTCCACTGTGCAAAATTTTATTTCCACCCCCTCCCCAGGGACTTACATTAGGCCTCTGTCAATAGAAATCCTACTTAGAGTCTAAAGGGCGGCTACCCTCAGTGCATATCTTGACTGCTCTTTAGTGCTAGATCATGTTGAAAATTAAACAAGTAATGGAAGTTAAGGTAATGCTTAATTTCAGAGGGAAATCTCCCATTTTTCAGATGCAGGTAGTTCCCATCGTTGTTTTTACCAGGTTTTTTTTTTTTATGGACCCTAGTAAGAACTTAGACACTCAGTCAGACAAAAAATATGGAGTCATGTCATCATAGATCAAAGTATCCGGAGGAGCCAGAATGGACCTTAATTACAAGCTTACCGCTGCCACACAGCAATGCATTAAATAAGATGAAAGCAAACAGGGCTTACTTGGTAATTTATTTTCTAGACTTGCAACCCACTGTGAAAATAATATCAAAGGAAGCCATCTTGCCTTTGTTCTCTTTGTCTCTGTTTCAAAACTTCTGGGCCAGGCTTTCAGACAGTCCCTTTGTTGGTTGGCAGGGTCAGGCTCGCTTAGAAGAAAATCTGGGTGCTTTTTTTTTTCCCTATATGTGGCAACAAGATTTGGTGATAATCAGGCTGTGGTTGTAATCCTTCCCAGACACATTACACCCTCACACAGAGATCGTTAACAAACACAGTTCGTTTGAAAGTTTAGCATTTAGAAATAATTTGCGCCATCTTTACTTTTGGCCTTAGTTCTTAACA